CTACTGAGTTATATTTTTTAAACTGAACGTCAATCTAAGACACTTCTGGCCCACACTAGAAAGTTGGTGTTGCTGGTTGAACAGATAGAATGTCCAGTTATATCATTTACTCATGTTCGTAGGTTACAAAAAAAAAATGTGAGCAAAACGACATTTTCTGCCAAAGACTTTTATGCCAGGCATATTCGAAAGGATAGCCCGAGAATAAAATTGTGTGTTTGCATCTCATGTTCGAGGGAGAGCGCTGTTCAGAAACTTCAGACGAAGTCGACGTGAATGTGTGGAAGCCGTACGTCTTTGTCTTTCTTGATGTGTTGTCTTGAATGGAGTAATGGGTTACGAACCCACGACTATAAGTATTAAGGTACTGGGGCCGGATTATCAAAACTTCGTAACTTTTTGTACTTACGACAAAAAAGTTCTGTGGTACGTGAATACAGCCTAATTTTGGCATTATCAAAACTTTCGTACGCAAGTCTTAGCTAAAAGCCTAAATTTTTTTCCCGCGCAAATTTTTCCCGCGTAAATGTTTATATAATACCACCGCTAGTATTACGTTGTCATAGCAACGCCACTCGTAAGTCGATTTTGCGTACTTACGAAGTTTTGATAATACGGCCCCTGATCCTAACTTACTGATGTCAGCAGTCATACTGATTCCAGTAAATAAACTTATATATTTATCGAAAAAAATTACCATTCGAGATAGTCCAGCGAATGCGGAGCGGTGTGCCAGACTTTGCTCATTTGCCGAGCCATTATATTATTATATTATATTATATTATTATAATAAATAGTGATTAAAAATATTCAACAAATTTTAAGCGAAAATATCCAAAGAAATTTTAGGTGAAAAAGTTCATAGGATGAGGGGAGCTGAAGAAGGGGTGCGCGGAAAAGCCGATATTGGCAGGCAGGGCAGCGCAAGATTATTCCAAGCCTGAAATACGATAGAAGTGCGTTCACGTCGAAACAGGGACTATACTTTCAAAACTCGCTAAGTGAACGTAAGCACTTACGCTCTACTTTCTTGTCTATGATTGGTGGATTTTGGTTGAAAGGCCGTCAATGATTGGCTGATGAATTTACGATCTCTTAACTTTTTTGAAAGTATGGCAGAAGCAGAGAGCGATGCAGACGATAGTTGAGGGCGAGATTTGACAGAAAAACTTCAGCTGTGGGGTTTGTCATATGAGGTTCGACAGACAAAGTATAGCAAGTGATATTAATAGGCAAAAATTTGCAGGAGAGATTTACAAGACAAAATTTAGCAAAAATGTTTGGCAGATAAGGCCAAATACCGAAAAATATCAGGCCGTGGAGGACCGTGATAATATTGACGCCAAAGCTGCAACCCAATATCAGCTGCCTTAGCGGCTTAAATGAGAACCCCAGAACAAAAACGAAGAAGCTACTCTAGTTGCAGTATCAAGACGGCAGCAAAATCTACGTCAGTAACGTAAATTTAGCGGCAGCACCAACAGTATCGACGGCAACAGCAGCAACAGTAGCAGGCAGCACTTCAGACGAGTCTATCTGCTTTACGTCGACTGAATAATTGAACAATAAACGTGTCGACCAGGACAGCAGCAGCAGCAGTGCAGCACGATAGCAGCAGCTGCGGCAATGCAGTGCAACAGAAGCAGTGCAGCACGACAGTAGCATATACGGTCACTGTAGTTTGACAACTGCAGGCATCACAACATTACATCTGTTGCTGCAGTACGTGTCAGTACGACAGCAGCAGCATCAATTTTACATTATATGAAATTACGATTACAACTCGAATGAAAATGTTCATACTTTCCTTCTATCCATTTGTTCACGAGATGTGAATGGTTCTTGCAGCGGAGAATAATGTCAACTTTTGCACTGCTATCCAAACATGACAATCGATCCTTACACTTCAAAACGTCACTCGCATCAAATTAGAAGAAGATTTTTAGAAGACATGTTGCTGCAAGGATACATGTTAGAAGAAGATTATTAGAAGACATGTTGCTGCACCGGAATTCAATGATATTTTCCGATGTCATTCAAAAATCCCCACTCAAAATCAACATCATTCAGGTCCGCCCCAGCGTCCGATAACGTGGATCAGAAGCTGGAGCGGCTCTAAATTTTGTTTGGGCAACTCAATTAATGCTGGAAGGCAATTTCCGTAGAATTTGAAAGCGAGCGGCGGTCACAGCAATCGAGAGACTCGTTCTGTACCTGCTTCACTGGACCACAAATGAACTAACTTCAGTGCCGCAAATATGTTTCGATAACAGGAAATCACTTTGGCCCAGTGTCTGAGCGGCAACTAGCGAACATCGAGCGACCACAAAAATGGAACAATTGACATCGAGAAGTTTTGCTGCGGAACACAATGTCGGAGTTGGCCGGCAGCAAGCAGCCGTATATAGGAAAGTTTGCTTCGTTTTTAGAAGAAAGATGATGTCTTATTAATCGAGATCCTATAAAATACTGAGGTTAAACATAGGATCTATAAATTATCATTTCTAAGATAAATTTTAGGTTATCGCTAGGTTTGAGCGACGCAGTTGCCCGATTGAGTGTATTCTAAATTTTCATAAAATCTCTTATAAATAATTTAAAAGAAATCATACATATTCTGATGCATAACTCCAGACCAGTTGTCGGCTATAATATTCCAAGTAAATTGAATGATGATGGCGAATTTTATGTTTTGATGGGAGTGGAGAAAGCACAAGCATTTGCTCGAAGCCAATTAATTGGCACGACAGAACATGACATAATAAATTTGAACAAACTTATAAAACACAAATAGGACATAATCATGGATGAGGAGAAAGAATGTCTATTTGACAAAGCATCATTGAAAATCATCGCATTTCCTTAACACGTAAAGTAAAGGAGACTAAGAAAATAAAAATTCTTGTTCGACAAATGTCAACAGAGTTAGAAAAAGCAAAAGTTTTGTCTTGGTGAATGGAATTGAAGAAGAAAATGCATACAATCTCTAGTTGACGAAAACATTAAATACGCTCACAAGACATCTCACGAAAACAGGCTCTTTATTAATTGAACGAGGATGACCAACAGTTTTTCGTTTCTATTCCAGCAAGCCACGCTATTGCACAGCCTTCATCCCCTGCCGCAGCGTAGCACGAAGCAGGCAGGTCGTCCTTGCAGCCAAGGTCCCGGGGGCAGGGGTATCATAAGCACCGCACATCTGCCCTCAGTTGCTTGCCCACGATGCTGTTGCTTGCTTCTTGCTCATTGTAGAGGTGCAGAGGCGGACGATCAATGATTGGGCTTAGAAAAAACATCCAGTCTCATCTTGAAGGTCTCAAAACTATTCACCTCATACGCTCAGCTTCATCGGCAAGGCGTTAAACACCTACGGACAACAATTGAAAGAGATTTCTTGCAGATATTCAAATCTAACCACAACCCTGTTACGTAATGGGGGTAACCTGCACAGTTTCCTTATCGTTTCACTGTGATGTTACTATCCCGAAGATGTTTCTTCCTCAAAGTTAAGGTCCACCTCGATTATCGCGGTATGAAATATTCCGCCTGATCCACCCATCTTTTGTCCGCGTTTTGCGACTATTGCCGCGATGTCGTCATCAATCGGAGCTTCGTTTCTCATCAATACTCCGAGTTCCCGAACCAATCGCTTCTCATCGATTTCTGTGCCGTACGATGCCAAGTGAAGTAGCAGCATCCCAATCTAAATACCAGCTCTGTACGGTACTCAGTACCACACGGTGAAAAAACATGATTATTCACACAAACACAGAGCAGAACATGCACTAACAAACCCCATAGACGATCGACGTAAACACAAACCGCACGCAATAATGAGGTTTATCGCGTACACATCTCGGTAGTGTGCGCGATAGTTATGCGCCGGAATTTACTTATCGTGGTGCGCGGGACCGAGACTTGCTATTAGTCCCGCTATCAGCGCCGTTGGCAGGACGGCAGTCGTTGGTGTAGCAGCGCCGGCAACACGCAGATTGAGGGGGATAGTGGCACTGTTCTTTAGTATCATTAGTATGTGTTTCGGACGTAGCTGTCCCAGGCCACGAAGGACCGCCGTCTCTGACTATCGCGCATCCGTCCTCATTTGGGCCAGCTGATGCACGATGCTGTTGATTGCTTCTCGCAGCTGGTAGTGGTGAATAGGCGGATGATCAGGGATTGTGCCCAAGAACACGTCCAGTCGTCTCTTGAATGTCTCCAGGGTGAACTCACCCTCTCTTAGATCCTTTTAGTAGGACCTTAGATCCAGTTACTCCTGCTGGCAATCACCTGCGGATGCCAACCCGACGACGCCCACCCGCCGATGCGACCCACAAATAATCAGTTCCTACATTTGTCAGGAGCTTCAACTTGAATCAAATTATTAGGCCCTGCATCAGTCTCACTCGACGCCACGACAGAGATCTAATTATCAGGACCAGCATCGGACGACTCATCAGTCGCGCCGCCATCACCAGGCGGTCGATGAGCCGCGCTCTCTTTAATTATCTTTGGATGATCAATTGCATCGCCGCAGACCGTCATTAACTCAGCGGCAGATTGTGTGGGCGACAAACTGGCGCTGATAAATCATTGGTGCTGATAAATACGGGGCACTGATAAACAAGAGGCGCTGGGACTCAAGAGACGCTGGGAATCAAGAGGCGCTGAGAATCAAGAGGCGCTGAGAATCAAGAGGCGCTGAGAATCAAGAGGCGCTGAGAATCAAGAGGCGCTGAGAATCAAGAGACACTGAGAATTAAGAGGCGCTGAGAATCAAGAGGCGTTGATAATCAAGAGGCGCTGAGAATTAAGAGGCGCTGAGAATTAAGAGGCGCTGAGAATTAAGAGGCGCTGAGAATTAAGAGGCGCTGAGAATTAAGAGGCGCTGGGAATTAAGAGGCGCTGAGAATTAAGAGGCGCTGAGAATTAAGAGGCGCTGAGAATTAAGAGGCACTATCAACAAGAGACGCTGAACTGATACACACATTACATGCACTGACCTGCCAGGAAGGCGGTAGTGGCGGCCAGCACGATGGACTGACCTGCCAGGAAGGCGGTAGTGGCGGCCAACACGATGGACTGACCTGCCAGAAAGGCTGTAGTGGCGGCCAGCACGATGGACAGGAGGATGAAGGCCAGGGCACACGTCTGCCAGGAACAGCGCTGCCAGGCGTCGCCATTACGCAGCGGAAGACGAAGAGGGGAGAACCCGCGGCCCCCCCGCACCCCCCCACCGGGGGTCTGCGCACCCCCATCACAAATGTTAGCTCTTAATATTCAGAAACTTGATTCAACATTTAATCATTACCTCTTTAATAAAATAATTAATTAAATGTTTACAATAGTTATTAATTAATAAGAAGTCCCTTTATATAGTTGAAACAATCGTATCTTTAAGTTTCTGAATCAACACAATTTTAATCCCGTAATATTTATGACCACACTTTACAAATATTTTATTACTCTTATAGTTACATATATGCATATATTAAGCACATGATCAACTGTACTTGATACATATATTAAATATATGACCAAATGTATTATGACAATTAAGAATCAACTTCGAAATTAAAATAAAGTAAAGCTATCAAAGTAAAGCCACACCCTTAGTTCATAAAATATACTTTATTCAAACTTGAATTATGGCTCAACTTGATGTACATTGCGTAGCGGCAGAATACATCGTTCATAGTTTGATAAAGTAATTTTTGTTCAAATCATATTTGTTGTTTCTGGACAAATATAAATATAAAACAGATGTGTCACAATAGATGAATAGATGCATAGAAGAGGTAATGGTCACTATACCTTTTCTCGCACCTGGGTGAAGTACTGGTGGGGGTAGTCGGTGGGGGGCAGGGTCAGGGGTCCTGTGTCGGGGGGGTGGCAGTCCCCGCCTCTGTACCTGCAGGACATAACAATCCATAATAAATAAACAATCCATAGTAAGTTAATAAAAATAAACATTGATCACTGATTACTGCAGCAGTTCGGAGACGCTGGCGCCGTTGCGGCGTACACTATAAAGTAACGCGAAGTTTTGGTGCAAAACTTCCATTAAACTGCAGGTAATAACAGACGCAGTGACCGCAGCGTGTACGATACTCTGCAGCAACAAGTGAGGGCAGGAAGGAGAACAGGAGAGAAATAAGGAGAAGAGGGGCGAAGTGTTAAGGGGGGAAAGGGTGAGGAAGATAATGAAATAAGAAAAGGAAGAGGAGAGTAGGAAGAGGGAGGGAGAGGAAGTGAAAGGGTAGATCAATTAAAACGAGTCGCTATGGCACGGTTGAGCGGGACGAATGTATTGCCAAGCAATCATGGCTCAGCCGTATCACATAATGACTTAATATAGCGGTATCAGCCTTCACTAACATTTCGTCGATAGAAGACATTAGTTCGTGTTTTTACCGTGACGATGCAGCATCGAACGAAAGGTGCGACCAAAGGCTCAATTCATTGAGGCGAGCGCACATTACTGCCATCCAATCAGGTTCGAGATACTGGCATCAGCGTTAATCAAGTCTATTACTTTTCATTAACTAATCAAATAAAAAATAATTAACGCGCGCAGTAATAATTCCTCTAAAATGTTAGCCTCGGGGTTGATCACATAAAAATAATGTGGAAATGAAATATTTGATTCTCATGATAGATAAATCGTTAGCACGTGCCACCATCAAAATTATTTTAACGACTTAAAGCACATTACTCAATATATTTTATTTGAGAGATATTAAGGCTATTGCTATAGCTATTTGAACACTCGAATGGCCGTTACTACCAACGCCACATCGGCAGTAATTGAGCACAACTCATAGCAGTGATAAAATATTCAATGGTAGTCGGTCATTAATTTCTACGACACAATCGGAACTAGAGTATCAAGAAGTTCCGTCACCGAAGAGGTCCGAGTACAATTAATAGCAATGAAAGTTTGCCAACAACTTTTGATTGTTTGCTCCGCAGAGCTCGTTGATGTATATTTTCATTAGTTTTGCGCACTACTGTCATCAATTGCACGCACAATTGTAATCAGTTGCACGCCTTGTTGTCAGCAGTGGCGTGCTTTGAGGTACAGAGGACGACCGAACAAACCTCGATTTTAACTATAATATCTATCAACAATCGTTCTCTGCTGCAGCGCTCATGAGTTGGAAACTAACATACCATGCCAATGGAAAGCATTTCTATTTCCTTAAGCAAGCTAGGCTCGGTGAGGATGGCCGTTCATCTCAAGGAAGATACATTAAATTTGCGACGACGTTTGGCTTCACGTGGACACTGTGGACAATCGCATTCTACGCGCACCGGAAGAGAACAGATATGTATGTTGTTTAAATAGAATGCAATAAAGAAAAAATTAAAAGGAAAATTGCAAGTAAATGACCATAAAAAACAATAGAGATTAGTTTCTTTAATGTAAATATTTATAACAATCAACCTTCAGTCCGCCACGGCCGTAACCAACTATCAGCAGTAACTCGCTTGTACCAACCCTCCTTTTGCCCGACCGGCAGAGGTGATTTATGACCCGCTGTCAGGGAGACGAAACTAAGGCCTCGCGAGCTAAAAAAATTTAACTGATGCGCAACGCATCGATATGCTTCGCACAATAGCAAATCGTATCGATGTAGATAAGCAATAGCCCAATCTTCAATAATTCTGATCTCGCATCATATTATCCAATTTTGCTAACGTCAAATATGTGTGAATATTATACAAACTTGCGACAAATCATCAATTTCGCAACACATTATTAGATCAAGCATATGATGGAGCTTCTTATATATAGATACATAAACTACCATTTCGTCTTATCCAACCTTGCACCAAGTTAACTGCTTCCAATCGTGCAGTTTTTCTTCATTCCTGCAAAAGTCTTTGGAATTCTTAGTATTTGTTTCGTACGTAGCAGTCCCAGGCCACGAAGGACCGCCGCCTCTGACTTTCGCGCATCCGCCCACATTTGGGCCAGCTGATGCACGATGCTGTTGCTTGCTTCTCGCCGCTGGTAGTGTGGCAGGGGAAAACGATCAGGAATTGTGCCCAGGAACACGTCTAGTCGTGTATTGCCCATTGAAGACTGCTTCATATCTTCTACCTTATCATTATCTTAACTTTAGATCGGAGACGTTTTTTGAAGTAGCGCTGTGCCATGAGGGTACTCATCGATTTCCAAAGTCATATCTACAAATACATGAACGGAATAAAAACGCAGTGAATCACATTCTCGTTTTAACTAAGGTTCGTAGGCGAGGATTACTCTCAGTTGAAAGAAAGTTATCACACCTTGCAACAACCTACCAATATAACAACCCCCAATTAAGGCCCTAAAGTCTAGAGCCTAGACCATCAAGCGCCATAGTCCACAAGAGCTAGCGTTGCTGGGGCAACCCCTTGGGCCACGCGATGTTGTCGAAATCAACACGTGCGCAGGCAATCAAGGGGAGCGACCGCCGTAACGCGAGCCGCTGCACCAAACGGGCGGGGGCGACTGGGGGCTTTTACCGCGATTGTCCAGAGAGGCTCTCGCGACCTGACCAGTGGGGAGGTGAGGTGGGGAGTACACTGATCGAAATAACCGTCAAAAACGGTGTGACCGGCATTCTAGTGGCCAGTCTCCCCATGAAAATAAACTTTTCACGAAATTTTCATCTGGTACGGGTTTCTTGTGTTAAATAAAAAAAAAACGACGACACGGTGTTTTTTCATGTGCCGGCCCGCCACTGAGACCGAACAGTATAACGAATACAGGGACAACAGAACGATTATACCAAATGCAGCCAGAATGAAAAAGGTAAGAAGAAAAAGAACCCAAACAAAAATGTCTGGTGAGAGTGAACATTGAGAATACAATTAGGTGTATACTCTGAGGTTGATGCAGCTTGGTTCACTTGGTAATGATGAACCAGAACTTGCTAGACACTTATGCGACTACACTAGCTAGTCGCTCAAGTGTTCAAAAGTCCCGTTGTCGTAATATAGCTTTGATGTGCTAGTTTCTATTTGAAATTCGCCTGTCGCTCTGGCGCCGCAGCCCACATAAAGAAAGCTGGTGAAACCTATTTTTAAACGCCGCAAATACACGCAAAAAAAGCCATTGTGATCTCACAGAACAATTGTGCAGCCAGGAATAATGGATCAAGAGTTGGCAGCTCTGCACGAACAAGAAACATGGTTCATAGACTACAGAGTTGTGGTCATAAATGACAGAGTTGCGGACTCATCAAACGTGACAGCCATGACACAGCAAGTCAATGAAATCGATGCAAAAGCCATCACTCTCAGCGGAGATAAGAAACCGAATGATTTTGTTATTGGCTTCCCGGGCTCAAAGAATGCCAGTAGATGAAGTGGAATCTCCGGGACCGTTGCTGACGGGAGGGAAGTTACACGAAGTGATGGGAGGAGAGATGCGCGGAGTGATGTGAGGGGAGATATGCATATAAGCTACCGATAAGACCGCTACGAAAACCACGCGTTTCTAGTTACCCTAAAAATGGCAATGATTAAGGAGCTTCGTTTTATCGAAGACAAAATCGGAAATTGGAAGGCAAGGAAAATGAGAACGATGAACAAAAAAAATATGGACGAAACTGTTTAAAACAGGAAATAAAAAAGGAATAAAAGTGTTCCCCACCAAGCACTCTGCGCGTCTCCAGCTAGGATATTAAGCAGTACGAACAAAACGCTGAAAATTCAACAAATTTATCACTCGGCATTATAAAAAATAACCTATCAATTCTACCACAACTTGCATCAAAGCAATATTTCTCCCCGTTGACCTGGAGAGCCAACACATGAAGCGTGCAGAGCACCTCGAGTTCAGTAAAATTCTATGTACATTCGACAAAAAATCGTAAACGATAAAACTAACTCGTTATTTGACCGGTGATTCGCGAAGATATCAGGTTGGTTAGTGTGACAGTAGCTGGTATCAATGAAAAATTCATGAGTTGAGGATTGGTTGATGCATGCTGACATACTGAACAGAATTGTCGCTTGCTTGATGAAAACATTCAGAATTTTCTAAGTAGACCAGATTAATTTCAGCCAAGTTCAACACTGAACATCATTTAGATAGATGACAACACTCATGACTTCTCAGTACATGCAAGCGATGCTTCAAGTTTAACATAAACATCGACCAAGTTGAATGTAAACATGCCGAAGTTTGCAGCAGCCAAGGAGGAGGATATCATGCAAGTTGCGTCGTTGATCTGACGTTGCCAGGTGTTGTTGACATTAGCGGGCCTCAAGGCCTCTGGTAAGGAGGCCGGTGGGGCCATATTACACAGGGATATCCATCACGGGCGCAACTAAGCCAAACTGTCGCCCGACCACTCGGCAAACTTTGACGAACGATGCAATATCTCGAGACTCGTGGCGCGACATGTTCTTGCCACGCCACCAGGCTCAGTGCCCGCGTCGATGTGAGACGAACATGCGCTCGAAATTATTCGTGAAAATGAGAAATACAGGGCAAAACTTCAACAAAAAATCCAGTAAACTTGTGGAACGTTATTTGTCGAACATACCCTCGCAATTACTCAAGAAATAACACAGACTTTGCTGAAAATTTGTAGAATAAATTCCAGTTAACTCGAAAAATACCATGTGTCGGCATGAGCACTGATTGCTGGCATGCGATGAGATACAGAGATCGATTTCTTGCTTCTTGTGCACTAAGGCGGCGTCCAAAACTACAAAGGAACTAAAATGAAACATGGAACCAATACCAACTATTGACTTGAAAGCGTCAATCGTTTTGATTCCGATACCTGATTTTGTATGTTTATGCAACAAAGGTTAAACAATTCAAGGTTAAATTAACTCAAAAAAATACTTTCAGAAACAGGTTTAATTGTCTAACCTAATTTTCATTAAATTAAAATGTAGCTAACCAGGATATGTACATGTATGACACGTGGCATGCTTGTAGATCGGTTTGAGGTTTACCACGCGCTAGCGCAAACCAGTTTTCTAAAAAATTTTCGAAGGCACATCACTTAGAGGTTCCGTATAAGCATTTCAGCAGAGGCCACTATTCCTTGTATTTGATATTTTACAAGAATTTTCCATGATAGTTGCCTCGTCAACGCTTTCCAAACGAGCTATACGAGTAGGAACATCTAGCCGATTGGTGGGAGGAAAAACGTAGAACTGCTGAACTAATTTTTTTGCAAAACAAAGGAAGAGAACCTTGAAATCTGATTAGATGTTAGTTAATAAACTTCTAACCAGGAACAAACTGCAACACGCACAAACATCCGATCGACCGGAACCTTTTCTTAACCCACCTGTCACCGAGTACCATGGGTTCAGGTATGGGCTGGCATGGTACGCACCTGTCACCGAGCACCATGGGTCCAGGTATGGGCTGGTATGGTACGCACCTGTCACCGAGCACCATGGGTCCAGGTATGGGCTGGTAGTACGCACCCTGTCTCTTATACACATCTAGATGTGTATAAGAGACAGCACCTTCTCGTAAGGAACAACATTCCTCTAACACCTGCACGTACGGAATAACATTCCTCTAACACCTGCACGTACGGAATAACATTCCTCTAACACCTGCTCGTAAAAAACAACATTCCTCTAACACCCGCTCGTAAGGAACAACATTCCACTAACACCTGCACGTAAGAAACAACATTCCTTTAACACCTGCACGTAAGGAACAACATTCCTCTAACACCCCCACGTAAGGAACAACATTCCTCTAACACCTGCACGTAAGGAACAACATTCCTCTAACGCTAACAAATAAAAAGTCACATTAAATAATAAATAAATAAGGACAAGAATTTCGTGGAGCACAAACCTAGTAATGACGTTCGGCACGTTGCTTTTGTAGGCTCTTGAATGGGAAGGGAAGCCCAGCAAACGGCTGGATGGCGTGAAAATATTCCATGGAAGGAGCCTTCGCAATGGCAGGGCAATTGCGGCTCCCATTTTTGTATGGGCTTGGCGAGCGCACGTGTGGTGGCGGCAAAGCGCTGTAATATCGCGGTATTTGACACGCGTTACTAAGAGCCTGTTACGCGCCGTTACTGCGTGTTACGTGATTAGTTTAACGCAAAAATATTATCTTACGCACGATTACTACATGATACGCTGTAAAAGAGTCGCGAAAATATTACGTTACGCACCGTTACTGCGCGATACGCGGTAAAAGAATCGCGAAAATATTATGTTACGCGCCGTTACTGCATGATACGCGGTAAAAGAAACGCAAAAATGCCATGTTGAGCGCTGTTAGTGCTTGTTACGTGACGAACGAAACACACAAATATAACGTAAACGGCGCCTATAGCCTCCACTTCTGATGAGGCTGGCGCCTGAAATTTCTGCGTTGCAGTTAAAACGTGACGAGTTTTCATGTTGTATTCAATGGGGAAATGATTAAATGATTCAAGCGAGTGCGCAGTTGTGGGTAACTTGAATACAAATAATATACGTTTAAAAATTACTTTTTCAAGACACTTCTAAAGAATCCAGTGTCTCCAATGTTAAATATGTACAATGAATTTCTCGTTTTATTTTCGTACGATATTAAAAAAATTAAAATTTCAATTTTTAATATATAATTTTTTTTAATTATTTATTCTGTCAATTGATTCATGCATTGCCTCTGACTTCACACAAGTGTGCAAAATTTCAGATCAATTGGACAGGTAAAAGTGTGTCAAATATCAGTTATAAGATTTGTAGCTGACAAAATTATTTCTTCAATTTTTTAATAATGAAAACCAATATTTTTCAATTTTTAAAATCATATATTTTGTCATTTGATCCATGCATTGTCTCCAACTTTACGCAAGTGTGCTAAATTTCAGATCGATAGGATAAGTAGAAGTGTATTAAATTTTGATTGCAAGATTTGTAGCAGACAGACAAACAGACAAACTAGAAGTGAAGTTAAAGAGAAATGTTGTAATAATATTAGGATAAGCAATAACTCGTTGCGCTGTGCGCTGACGAGGGGGAAGCAAGGAGAAATTTCGGTTTAGCGGGGGAGGTTTTTTTCTTTAATTTAGGGAACACTTGTGCGTGTCTGTAATCATCATCGAAAGGCATGCTAAGCATATTTCCATCAAACGTTCCGATAGTTCGATTGTCAGTACACCCTATTTTAAACCATCAGTCTATGCAGATTAGGTCTGAAGTAAAATGGAATTATTTAAAGATTAACAAACCATTACTAAATATCATTCAATAAGGGGCTTGGTCATTAATAACCCTTCATAAGTCGGCAACCACGAACGGCAAAATGCCCACGCATTTCCTGCAAGAATCCGCAACTAGAACAAAATTTAATACGATTTACCTGTCTGCCATCAACTGCTGCAGTCCAAATCCATCATCTACTTGAGTTCACAATCGTCGATTCCTGGGATATACGCAGCCGTGAACGGCTCGTCAACAGCAATTAACTACAGCAATAATTGAACAGCTGCGCTGAGGGAGCAACCGTTGAGCAGCTTTACTCTCTATAGACGTGGCGGGGTGCGAGAACCTGGACACTGAAACAACAGGTGAACATTCCTCTCAAATAACTCTTAGTCAAGAACACTTGTGTAATGAACAACTTTACAATTTATTCAGACGAATAATTCTCTAACAAAAATGAACAATCCTATTACGAACACTAATGACACTCCTCACGGAAAAACAACTTTTCTCGTGAAAGTTTCAATCTAAAATAATCCTTTTACGATAGCTTGGTCAAAAAAACAGAAATGCATAAATAAAAGTATCTAGATGCCAGCGAAGGGACGGCATTTAATAAATCTGGTTATTTTTTGTTGACCAAAGAGTGACAACTATTTCCATCCGCTCCAATCTACTCTTAACGCAGAGAACAAAGATTATCGCTGCCACTTAAAAGGTGATACTTATATCATCAAATTCATCGAATCTCTCAAAGTTCACCAGATGATATAAGCTTTAGCCAACTTCGCTTATAGTCAGCCCTTCCCCCCACCCACTTCGGGACCAAGATATTCCCATCTAGAGACTCTTGCTGATGACTGGAAGTTTGAAGTCGTGAAAGTTGATACGTTAGGCCGACTATACCTATAACAAGAGACGCTTCTTGACCTGACGGTGGATGTAAACAGGAGGTTGACCTACTAGTTATTAAAGTAGTTGTTTTCTAGAATCGGTGACTAGATTTTTTTACAACACTTCTCTTTAACTTCGCTTCTTGTTTGTTTGTCTGTCTGCTACAAATCGTATAATCGATATTTAACACACTTCTAACTGTCAAATCGATCTGAAATTTTGCACACTTGCGTAAAGTCGGAGACAGTGCATGTATCAATTGACAGAATAAATAATTTGGAACATTTAAATTTTTTTTAAATTGTACAAATAAAATTTGGAATTAATTTTTTTAATATTTGATAATAAAACTAGAAATTCATTGTACATGTGTAACATCGGAGACACTGGATTCTTTAGAAGTGTTGTCTTTAAAAAGAATAATTTTTAAACGCATATTATTAGGTTAAGAGACGTAGTGCCGACTATTAATGGAAAGCGGCAAGTGAAGTTAAATGTAACGTCGAATGAATTATCCGTCCCAGTTGTCGATTAAGACCATAATTCCAAACGTTCGTAGACGAAGCCTACATAAGATTCGTCGTGGGTGAATCATAGGTGAGAGCGTTCAAAAACTATTAAGTTTATCAATTTAGGTACTGAGCGTGTAAGACGACACATGATAGAACAGAGCAGTTTAAGTAGCCTGCCATGTCATAGTTGAAACCAAAAGAAATACCTACAAACGTTTCGTTTTAATCACAGATGTGCGATAATTTAAATCAGTTTTCGTTTATTATTTTGTTCTTGCAGAACCACCTTATTACGGTATTAAAGATTTTCCAGGCGAAATATGCTATATTTTATTACAAATAATATATATTCTGCGCGGCGGATCAACGGATCCGATACAAACGACAAACAATTAGTGCAAATTTCCCAAAATCATTAATGTTGAAATAATTTACCGAGCGAAATTGAATATTGTCCATCAGAAAGTACCATTTAATGAGATCAAGTGTCATTAAAATGTTCCTAACTTATGTCTGCAACTTTACGTTACAGACATACGTACGTTATACAGACATTCCTATAACATACGTTATAGGAATGTTCCTATAACGTGTGTCTCAACTCAGAAACGTCACTAAATGAGAATGGTCAAATGTTTGTCCAAATGAGCTTTTAATGGGACTGTCTATCACTAAGTAGCGCTTAATAGGAGTGTCCATCACTATTCACTAAGCAGCGCTTAATGGTAGTGTCCATCACTATTCACTAAGCAGCGCTTAATGGGAGGGTCCATCACTAAGCAGCGCTTAATGAGAGGGTCCATCACTAAGCAGCGCTTAATGGGAGTGTCCATCACTAAGCAACACTTAATGGGAGTGTCCATCACTAAGCAGCGCTTAATGGGAGTGTCCATCACTAAGCAACACTTAATGGGAGTGTCCATCACTAAGCAGCGCTTAATGGGAGTGTTCATCACTAAGCAACACTTAATGGGAGTGTCCATCACTAAACAGCGCTTAATGGGAGTGTCCATCACTGAGCAGCGCTTAATGGGAGTGTCCATCATTAAGCAGCGTTTATTGGGAGTGTCCATCCCTAAGCAGCATGGGAGTGTCCATCACTAAGCAGCGCTTAATGGGAGTGTTCATCACTAAGCAGCACTTAATGGGAGTGTCAATCACTAAGCAGCGCTTAATGGGAGTGTCCATCACTAAGCAGCGCCTAATGGGAGTGTCCATCACTAAGCTGGGCAACAAGCGACGTGCCCCCCGAGGAGGGGAATGTGTCCCGAGTTGCCAAAGCTGGGGATTTGTGACTTAGGAAGAGGGGCTCGCGATTTGGCGAACTCGTCAACAACAAACTTTCCTCTCGGGGAGGAGGGGAGAGGGGAGTTAGTCGCAGCCGTGACCTGAAAAATCGGATCAGCAAACAGAAAATGTATTATGAATAAAATAACAGAAAAAACAACTTTGTAAAGGCGCATAAACAGAAATGGAGAAGCTGGAAAAATTTGCGTAATAGGAATAAAAGGCTTTAAAAATACTCCTAAATTTGTGTTATGCTTATGGAACCGTAGGGGTACGGCAGAATTGATGATCGTTTATTCGTCAGTTAATACGATCGCTGACTCGCCCCTCGTGCAACGCACTGAACTAATACGATCGCTAACTCGCCCCTCGATCGTGCAGTGCACTGAACTACTCAGACAAAATCATCTGCTGGCCTACGTTGTGTATACCAAAATATTTGAAAAAGAAAACATAATTTTATTCGCAACTTCTTAGCAATCGTTGCCTCACTCATATCATCCACCTCGCTAGCCTGCTCTGTCTCAGCGCTATTTTGCCGGGGCGAAGTAAGATTTTACATTGCAATGAATCGATAAGTGGATTGAAATTGACTGGCACGAAATAATAATAAGAATAATAACTGGGAAGTAGAAAGGAAATAAACGCTGGAACGACGTGGACGTCCACGCGTTTAGTACGAAAGACGCAGAAAGTGATTTAGCTAGATAACGAAGATTTGGTGAAGAGCAACAGGAATAGTGATCGACTCGTGACAATTTAGTTAGCGGCAGAGGTTAACAATGAAGGAGCGAACAACAGATAAATTAATAAACGAGCCAAGGATAACAACCAATCTCGATCAACGAAGAACAATATAATTAGCGTGCAGAGGATATTTTATTAAGATGGCGAGCAGAGTGTGATAAAGTAACGTAATGAATAAAGTAACGATAAAAGTAATCTAGAAGTAACGCGCTTTGGACTCTAGTACGAGGACAAATGACTAAGTCCTCGCAATAATAGGACAAAGCAAAACAAAGCATATATAGAGCCAGCAGAGAATAACAAATATGAGAGTTGGACGGTAAACACAAGTCAGGGGATGCGAGGCGCTACAGTTTACGAACGTCCACAAGGCCAGCATACAAAAGGCTGAGCTGTGAGCCACGACCCGCCATAAAAACAGTCCACTTGGCGCTGGCACGAGTCCGCTCAGTCCACGGCCGAAAGTGACTATACAATGTCAGCGATAATCCAACTCTTGACAGAATAAATAAGTGAATGTTGAGTGGAGAAAAAATGGAATCGCCTCAACCTGAATGGAGGACTTGGTTAAGTTGGAGAAGCCAGAGTTAACATGGAGTCATAGACACGGAGGTCGCTTCTCCAGGTTTATATGAAGGCGCGCGAAAATTACAAGAAATTTGATTCACAACTTGGTCAACAAGTGCCTCTTATCGCACTAGAACGGCAAGCCGTCCTGTTGCTCCTATTAGAAAAAAAATCGGGGCATTAGAACATTATGAAACTATAGTATATAAAAATAATATAGTAGATAGGACCAGCGTGAGGCATGAAAGCAACATGAAATGTAAGTGAAAGAAATGTCTTCTCAAGTGCAAAATAAGACATTCCAGGGCTTATGAAAAACGTGAGGCATGAGACCAGCATGAGAAATGAGACCAGCATGAAGCGTGAGATCAGCATGAGGCATGAGACCAGCATGAGGCATGAGATCAGCATGAGGCATGAGATCAGCATGAGGCATGAGATCAGCATGAGAAATGAGATCAGCATGAGGCATGAGATCAGCATGAGAAATGAGATTAGCATGAGGCGTGAGTTCAGCATGAGGCATGAGGCCAGCATGAGAAATGAGACCAGCATGAGGCGTGAGATCAGCATGAGGCATGAGATCAGCATGAGGCAGCTGCTGCAGCTCGCTTATGAACAGCATCGGTTTAATGTAAGATCTTCATTAGGCCGCGGCGACCCCCGCGACCCAGAAGTTGCTATTGATGGCCCGAGGTCAGACCGATGCGTTTGCCGACACTCTACACGTACATGTCTCAATATACACACTGAATGTGCATGTTGTAATAAACACGTCGAATTATGAAAGCTGTATTTACAAGGTTCAATATACAATGTATAGTTACATTAGTTAGAATACTTAGTGAATACCATGTATGTACGCATAGAGTTCATGTTGATAGTAACTGTATACGTGGTGAATGACACTTCACAGTTGATAGTAACTGTATACGTGGTGAATGACACTTCACAGCAAGAAATGGTACTCGAGTTTGGCATGCGGAAATGAACATTTGAACACCTCAAGAAGCAGTCGCTACGCTATTTATACTTTTTGACAAGAGAGAGGAAGTAACGTCGGCTTATATACTTGCAGTGCAAAAGAAAATGTCATGGATAGGAAACGCTCTAATATAGGCCGAGGTGAGTCGGGCGCTGAAGGAGCTAAGCCACGCTTCGGTTCTACATTAGGATGCAAATGAGGCGCACAACGCTGTCCTCCCATAAGCATACGGAGCAACATCGTTGCCTGTTAGAAATTCAAGTAATTATTAGTTTAACTTTATTTAGAACTCGTCTACTAGATGAATTAAGAATGCATAGAAGTAATAATTGAACCGAATAATTGAATAGTTGATAGTTGACAGACGAAACCCTCAACATTAGATTCTTGAAGATACGTGTCGCTCCTCCCGGCAGCGTGTGCATCAGCGTCATGTCTGGCTGTTCACTTCGTTTAAATTTCACTTCATGACGCTGATGCACACGCTGCCGGGAGGAGCGATACGTAGGCCAAACGTTCTCAAGAAAATAATGAACTTAATTACTTATGAGTTAATTAAAAATAATCATGGATTTTCTGTCGCAATCGAAGACGACTAAAGTCTTTCCTGGAAATTCCAAGCTTAACATTGTTATTTGAGAAAAAGTTTACACAGAATAATTGTTTTTCCTTACATCGTGATGTCAACATCTGCCCACCATATTGCTTACACATTTACGAATGGATTCTTTTATAATAATTACAGGGTTTTATAAATTTCTCTGCACTGCGGAAAATCAATATTCAAATCAATCTATAATCATTCAATTTTCAGATATCGTTTGGGCCAATATATCTGCATCAAAATAATGACCAGATTGCTTGCAACTACACAGTGCTTAATGTAGAGTCGGAGGTGCAGATTGGAGTTGAAAATCACTTTCTGTTTTCTCTGAAATAGTCAAATTTCCATGTTATTTGGCAGGAGCAAACAAGCGAGTTACTTTGTAGCAGCTGCAGCACAGCCATTACTCCAAGTGAGTTACATGGGGGGCGTTGCTGCCGTCAGCCACCCTCGCAGTTGTCGTACCCCTCCGCGCAGTTGTCGTACATCACAGTAACTGCCGACGTACGACGCACACGAACAAGGCTCACTAGACCATTCACTGGCAACTAAATGCTATCATTGCTGAGGAACGATGACCTTATGGAGCGCACCAAAGTTATTTTCAATATTGAGCTCTGTTCCACACAGGTTGTGAGACGGAGAAACCTCGTATAACTTAGAGCATGAGTTGATGAGAGTTGTGCCAGACATTAAATTGTTGCTACAACAATGACAGAATATTACAAGAATATTCTACCAACGTGAGGTATCATAATACTAAAAGTATTGTTATACACTCACATCACAATGAAATACACCCGCACAAATTACATGGAATACAATGAAAAAATACAATGGAAAAGTAGCGCACAAGCACAGAACAGATAACGATAGACATCGCACTAATAACAGAAGCAGAAAGGACAAAAATTAAAGAAGTAAATAATTACTGTCGAGATAAGTAAAAAAATCTTAAGGAACGGTACCAGACCGTCGCATACTTTTACGCGAATAAAAGTTCATGAAAGATCATTAGGAAACAATGATATCCTGGAAAGTATTTTCTGCAAACCGCCGTATTTTGGTAGTGCACAACTGCGTTCGTTCAAAGTTCAGAATTGATCAAAACTCAGAACTTAATATCTCTACTCCGGCAACCGCTTAGTATTGGCAGTCATCGACGCGAGTTTTTGTAGTCTCCCCTTGACTGGCGGCTAACGAACGGTGACGCAACACGCGCGGCTCGTCATTCTCCACATTACGACTCAACAGCAAAATTAATATAAAAAACTTGAAAAGCAGCAGAATTTAGAAACAAGATGCCCTAAAAAAAGGCCTAAAACACCGGAGGCCTTAAAAAATAGACAGGCCCAGAATAGCTCGTGACGGCAAGACTAGGGCTGACAGGCGTTAACTGCTCAGGCAGAAACGATGAGTTGTGTAAATATTTATACAGAAGGCGATGTTAATAAGAAACTGTGACTTGTGAATGGCTGAGGATAAATGGGCGAAAAATAATGGCCTAACATAAACATGACAACAGAGATGCGCTTTGTAATTCTGAAGTGCACATAAAACTTGAGCATTCGATGCCCTGCTGCTTCTTTGTTAGCAACTTTGAAAAGATTTTATGTTCTCACACAATGTATAGAAGCTACTAAATTAATTTGGATAATAAACAAGTGTTCACAGAATTATTCTGGCAGAGGAGAGTTTTAAGACAGATTCATTTCGAAATTCACAATTTTTCACAAGATTTCATTTTTTTCCAAAACGCGAAAAGATGAGGGAACAGTTTATCACTTGTATAATAATTATAGTAAATTATTTCAATAATCCACAATAGAAAACAACAAATTTACAATACGTATGTAAGAAACATTTTTTAATGAATGTAGTTATAAATAAAATTAGTTTTCATCGCTTTTGTTCGTAATATTTCTCGTTTATATTTACATGACGAATTCGATTGAAAATATTTCACAACAAAGTTGCTGACGACACGTAATAAAAAGGCGCTCTAAGACCCACCTAAGTTTAAAAAACCATAAATTATTCAGATGATACAATAACAAAGTTTATTCGGGGAAAACCAACCCAATAACTCGAACAAATTCCAAGTTGTGTCATGTCCATCGCACAGAGACCTGCACCACATGTTTTATTGAGTTTATTATACAGAAATTCAACATTCATAGTTAACCCGGGAACTGCGGGATGAAGGGCCGCAGGACGTTCAACTTTGAGACGCCTATGAAATAAGTTATTATATTACAACACGTAAGAAATATTGTCTTCTATTCAAAGACAAAATCTACCGCCAGTAGCAAACCCCATTACACATCATAATACATGAAGCAATTTTATTGGGGTTTGCTGGAATTTTAGGCAGACTAAGGAAATAAGGACTTATAATAGATGAAAATATAACACGAACATTCTTATTAACAATGATGTTAGGGATTTGATAGGTTGTATATTTGTCATTTTGTTTTAGAGAGAGTTTGACGTGACTTTGGCCGAATTACGGAAGATGGTGTAGTCTTTTGGTTGCGGTCGATGAGTAAAGAGTCTCAGTAATAGTTCCATTTCAAATCATTAGTTCAGTAATAGTAATTCTTCAAAAATAAACAGGACAAAATTGTAATGTTATAATTGAAAGTTCTCTCGAATTACCCGAATATTCAATGATAATGGATAAGAGCTGCCAAACCAATTTCCTGCCCCACCCCCACCATCAGGCCCCAACTGCATAAGTATTTTTAACGTGACAGGCACCAACTAACATGCCGCGAAGGAAGGTGTAATGTTTAGATAGCTTGGTGTCAAATAATTTAGAATTAAATTTAGAATACGAGAAAGTATTGGATATCTGTTATCTGTTCGGCGCGATGAAGCGAATAAATGATCATGAAACTGTAAATTATTAGATGGCCTCATTTCGTAATTACGATTTTTACACAACAAATGTCTAAATCATACGTAGTACGAGATGCAGTGAAGATTAAGAAAATAAATACATCATCTTCGTATTCCCAAGAATCGTTCTGAATCGTTCTGAAGAACTGAGAGAAAGATCAGATGTTAATTTATCGCAGATCTTTTTAAATTAATAGCCAAACGCACATAAATTCATGCACCCACTCCTACACACGCTAAAACAACACACAAAAACAAGCATATTCAGGTGAACATATAAATATACAAGAAGCCTTCATAAATTCCTACACATCGACTAATTAACACACACACGCAGGCTGTATACTGTGTGAATTATTAGCTCCATACCGCACACGGAACCTTACAACGGCCTCTACTCGAGGGCAAAAACGAGGGAAGGGGAGGTGCGTCCGAGGGAAGGGGTGAGGGTAGACACGTGACCAAAATACTTGCAGGAAAATATATTCCAAGGGTTATTAGACGCAAGAAATTCGATGCTGAAATCATACGGCGTTCCGTATGACGAAAAAATTTATAAAAAATCGAGATAACTCAAAATGTAGGTGCAATTTGTCGATAAACATAATATTTCAATGCATTAAACAGACTTTGTTCCGCCAGGAAGCTTGAAGGCCAGTTATAGTTTTCAAAAAACGAAATGACTCAAGTTGGTCTTCGTAAAACGAAAAACGTGGGCATGAGGTATGGGCGAGGTAAAGTTATGCCTCGTAATTCATTGGATTCAAAGCTTTTTATTCACTGTAGATCCTTCAAGAGTTCGGGTACGAAAGAGATTGTATGTTAATTGCAAATCACGAATCGACTATCAGGATCGAATCAAATCATGTTCACAAAAAAATAACTTCAAAGAAACAAATTTGAGAAATCTCAAGATATACAAAATGAAAAAAGTACACCAATAGGAAGTTCCAATTTAATTAATACAGTGTCCCATCGCAGACGTCATATCAAAAATCAAATATTAATTGTCATGCAAGAAGCATGAAGTAAATTTGCATTATTAAATACTTAACAATAAATACATTACGTGAGCACATCAACTCTTAGGCGTCACCATAATGTAAGTCAATCAACTAAATACAGTAAAAAAAAT